CCCCAAAACCCCAAAACCCCAAAACCCCAAAACCCCACTAGATAATATTAGATTGGTAAAGATTAATATAATAAATCAAAATTTCAAATTATATGGAACGAGAGGTGAATTACCTTGTGTTGAGGTATCTCGAAAATTTGCTCAGCAAGGAAGATTATGAGTCTTTGAAAGAAAAGGTAAGTCAGAGACCTTGATTAGCCCCAAAGACCATACCTCTAACTGACCTTTTATAGATAATCCCGAGGTTGGACCTCCCAAAGATTCACAATTGGTCTGGCAATCAGTTAGCCATTGGGTTTGAGGAGCTCAGCCGAACCAGATTTCATTTTCCATCAAAATATTTAATTGATATTTTCGAGAAGATGATGATTAAGTCTAAAACCCCTCTGTACAATCTGGACAACCTTGAGAGCGCAGAGGAAGAGGATAAAGAGTAAGTGGCTTCGAGTGGGCCCTAATGATCATTCTCCGTCTCACTTCTTCATAGGGCATCTTTAGTAGGGAAGACTAGGAAACTGCCATTCTCACTTAAAAAGAGAAATTTCAGAAATTTTGAACGATCCCAAAATCTTCACCGAGATTTCAGTCAGAATTTGCCAGGAGGACATCAATCCATCCAGAAGTTCGAGAAGGTAAAGACAGTGTATGGCCATGCTGTCCTAGGAGAGCAAGGGATGTCTATATCTTGAATAGAATTTGATTATTCCAATAAATACATTATCACTGGCTCTGATGACAAGTAAGCAATAGATTTCTCACATTTAGACTGATTAAGATCTGGCTCGTCCTCAACGGAAGCCTCCAAGGAGTCTTGTGTGGCCACGAAGACGTAATAATGGATCTCCATGTTAGTACTTGCAATAGATATGTGATCTCGGCTGGAAAAGATGGACTCGTGATCATTTGGGATTTAAAATTGTGCAAAAAGCTTCATGTTTGTAAGGAACATAAAGGAGCGGTGAATCAAATCAAAACTGTGTATACAAAGCTTGCAGCTAGTGAGAATCAGTTGCTCTACACCTGAGGAGACGATGGCTTAATAAATATCTACAATTTGGATTTAATAGAGAATCCAGACATCGGAAAAGATGCTGATGAAAATACAGTACAAACACGAAGAGCAAAACCAAAAGTTAAAAAGGATCCTCTGTTCTTGTTTGCTTTGAGTAGCATTGAGTTCACAGGGCTAAAGAAGGACAAGAAGATTGACTCTATAGACTTTTCCAACAAAAGAGGGCTTCTATTTGCTGGTTGCTACGGTGGGGATTTATTAATATGGAGGAACGACAATTATCGCAGAGAGAAATTTATGAAAGTAGCATATGAGCTCGTCTCTAAAATCAAATATCATGACCAGATATTGCACTTAATAGCTATCTCACCTGATGACAACTATTTTTTGACTGGAGACACTGACGGGAAGGTGAATATTTGGAGACCTCCAGAGACAGCACAAGATATCAATGAGTTAATTGGAGATATTAGTAAAGATAGGAACCCAGCAGGAAATAAGCAAAAAGGTTGATTCAGAAAACACCTTGTCGCTACTATTGATGGATCCTCTGAGTTTTCAATCTCACAATGTGACTCAGTGGAGTGGTCCTACAGAGGGAGGTATGCTCTAGCATCCTTTGGAGGAAAAGAAGAGAGATCGAACAATGAGAAGTCTATCATTTATATTTGGGACCAGAGAAAACAAGAAATCATTCATAAACTCGGATCTAAGGCTAGTGGAATAGTGTTGGAAAATTATACATTTGTATTAGAAGCTCATCCCAAGGATGAGAATTATTTCATGAGCGGAGGAGGAGCAGGAAAGGTCATCCTCTGGGATATTAGAACTGGTACACAGATAAAGTCTTTTAAAGAATTTGGACACTACCATAGAGACAATAATATGCTAGACGAAGTCTTTGATGGAAAATTTTCTTCATGTGGCAACTTTTTTGCAGTATCTACAATATGGGGAACTTTCTCAATCTACAGCATTTTTAATAAAGAAACTTATTTATCAACTCCTATTGAGCAATTCTTCCATAGAGACAAAAGTGCTGAAATGTCTAGCGATATTTACAACATTGAAGCTCCAATTTTGGTCAATTTTGATAGACTAAAGCAACCTGACCAGACGCCTCTACCAATCCTAGGAGAGATGTAAGCCTATAATTTTATATCTAGAACTTCGCTGAATGACCCAGACCAGTGAACCAAGAAGTACATGTTTGGTCTCTCGGAAAGGATTGAGAAATACGGCAAGGACCATAAATTTTGTGAAGACTATGCAGTGCAGAACGAACCATACTTTTTCCTGAGTACTTCCTTAAACTTATCCATAGATAGCAGGAATGAAGAGAATCAGAGTAATCACGAAAGTGGCTCGGCTGACTCTATCATGAGCAGTGAAAACGAAGAGAACAAGAGAGACAGGTAGCTCCATCAAAATTTTATCAGTATAGACCTGTGTACTATGACAGACACAATGATGAATTTGACAGAGAGTCTGATGAAGACTTTATTGTTGACCTAGAGAATAGGTCTAATGGGGTCAGAAGAATGCCAAGAAGGACAGATAATCCTCCTCAGCCACAACAACCACAAAGACAAAATGAAGGTATTCGTCAGAGACAGGAGAGAGAACGAAGAAGAAGAGAGCGTAACCGTAGAAGAGGAGATGATGATAACAGCGATGAAGATGAGTTTATCATTCAAGACATGGTTGAAAATGAGGAATCTGAAGCATCTATTGACTTTGTAATGAGAGATGAAGAGTCATCAGTCAATCATACCAGGCCAAATCCTCTATATGCCTCTAGGTCTCCAATTAATGAATCTGAATCAGAAGAAGAGGTTATTGAGAACGGAGTTCTAGAAAAGCATGAGTCTTGAAAAGTAGTTTTACCCAGCTCTGACTGGATTATCCCTAATGATGCTATTGATGGGGATCAGATCATGCCTGTTGGCCATTACCTCTCAATAAATTGCAATGAAGATTACCAGTTCGAACAGAAAATGGAGGGAAAGGGCTATAAGATTGATATCGAAGAAGCCCAAAGAATGATTAAAAGAGATAAATCAAATCTTGACTGAGCTTTATGTAAAAAGAAAGGAGGAGAGGGTAGCTTAATTGGACCGTTCAAATACTTCATCAACGACCTCGCAACTGATGAAATGATCTACTGGTTTCATAGAGAATGCCTTGAAAGAAATGATATCGTCGAAAAAGTGTCTACTTATGAATTCAGCAAAATTCAAGAGTGAGTCAATCAGTGGATATTGAATGAAGGTAATGAGTGCCAAAGATGCTTCACAACAGGAGCATCTATTAGTTGAACTGTATGCAAAGATTCTTATCATGGATTTATCTGTTCATTCCTTAGATTAGGGTTTGACTATGATGGCAACCTTGTTTGAATCAGATGTCTCAAGGATACATTAAGAAGCCAGCTTACTGACGAATTTCTAGATCAAGTAGATAAGAGTTTAATGGAAAAAGATTTTTACAAGAATAAAGACAGAAAAATGTTTTATGAGCAACTACCAGGGGTTTACACCCCTCAGATCGAAGATGAGGTTTATTTTATTTTCCAGGCTTATGAAGAAGTAGTAGGGTACTATATGAACCATTTCTTCTCTTTAGAAGATAATAGAGACAGACCTATTGAAGACTATATTAACAAATTCCTTTGCCATAAGCTTACTGATAATAATGACCTCACTCATAAACCTTTGAGGTGTAAGATAAGCAATATTGAGTACAGACTTCCTAGCGCGACTACTTTTGAGATTAATCAAAAATTAGGAATTAAGAACATGGACTTTGTGATAGAATCAGAAGTTAGACTTCAAGTGCTCGAGCCAGAGCAGCTTGAAGAAATGGAATTCAGCATAACCTACTTTAATCACTCTACACGTGAAGAGAGTATTTCTATGAATTATCTTATCCCATTGAATAGCTTTATTCAGTCGATATCTGAAGAGGAGTTATCCGAGATTCAAGGACATACGCTAAAGCTGTCTGATATTCATGAGTCCCCTCTAGACTTAATAGATGTAGTCGACTTCGAACCAGAAGTATATTCAAATTGTAATTTCAAGTGAGTATTTTTCAAGCAAGTTTGCAATGCAAATCCTGATGGTCACAGATTGAGAGCTAATGCTTTGGGAAGGAACCTCAGTCTGAGATTAGGAAGACTTTCTATCTGGGACATAAAGCGAGCATCAGCTACAAGTACACCAATCAAGGACAACCTTCAGAAGAACTACATTGAAAACAGAGGGTTCAACCCGGAAAATTATGAGTGTGCATTTGATGAAGTAAAGACCAGAAGACTGGTGGAAACAATAGATGCGTTCATTAAGAACAATTCTTATTCAGAGTTCTTCAAAGATGAAGTGACAGATGAAATTACTCCTGACTATCTCAACATAATCCCTGTTGAAATGAACCTATTCACCATTAGAGACAACCTAGAGTCAGGTCATTACAGGTCAAAAGAGATGCTTCTGAAGGACTTAAAACTGATAGAAGACAACTGTATCGAATTCAACAGTGAAAACTCTGAAATTTCAAAGCATGCTAAGAATGTCCATGAGAATCTCAAGAAAATATTTGTGAAAGCTTTTAGCTACAAACTTCGGGATGTAAGCAATCCTATAACCTTTAGATCCCCAGAAGGACCAGCTCCCTCAGAAGTAGAGAGAATGGCATTGAACAAGAAGGGATGAACAAAAGAAACCCAAAGAAACTTGGCAGCTTAAGAAAAAGAAACGCAAGGCAGAGGACTAGTATAGACTATAAGGAAGATAGTGAAGAAGAGAAGGCTTTCAAAAAGCCTACCCCACAGAGGAACAAGAGAAGAATGCTTGATGAAGAGAGTGACCCTAGTTTGGAAGACAACAACTTCAAAATTGATTTACAACAGCCAAATAGCTTAAGGAGATCAAGTAGGAACAGGAACGTTGTGAGCATGAAAGGTATATATTGAGACCATAATGAAATCAGCATAATAATTTCTAAAGATGTTCTTATAGAGCCCGACACACCTCCTGGAGAGAAAGGACTCATGAGAAGGACGCTAAGAAAGAGAGAAGTAAAAGAAGAGAGCAAAAATAACGGTGTGAATGGAATATCTACAAGACAAAGGTACGTGCTTGGCGAATTATATCTAGCAGAGGCAAGCAATCTCAACAAAATTCAGAGTTCTCAGAAAATGGTGATAATTATGAATATGAAGATTATTAGAGAATAAATTGATTTCAGACATTTTTCAATCAGTTAAGCTCACCTGGGGTTTTGGGGTTTTGGGGTTTTGGGGTTTTGGGG